GTGTGTGTACTAATATGTACATAATAAATATAAACAGAACACACACATATTATGCATGTATGTGTGTGTACTAATATGTACATAATAAATATACACAGAACACACAAATATTATGCAAACAAAACTTTTATTTTGTATGCGATTAATCATTTGACAGCACTATAAAATATATATTTTATGTTAATATATATTGGATTTCTTGAGCACCAAATCAGCATGTAACACTGAAAGACTGGAGTAATGGCTAGCAATTCAGCTTTGCCATTACAGGAACAAAATACATCTTAAAATATAAGTAGAAAACAGTTATTTTAAATTATTATAATTTCACATTACAGATTATTTTACAAAAAAAATAAACATATTGCTGTTTTACTGCATTGTTTATCAAAAAATACAGCCTCGGTGAGCAAAAAAAAAAAAATCATATCATGAAAAAGTTCAATTAATATGCGTGTGTGTTTGTGTGTGTGCGTACATTCATATGTTTGTACATACACACACAAACACTTGTGAACATTTTGTTTGCGTCTGTCTCAAATATTATTACCACATCTATCATCTTGAAATTTGTTTTTCCCTGAACAGTGTAAATTTATGTTTTATGTAATACATTTGTGATAATCAAATGTACTTGTTCACAATATTTTTTTGTCACCATTTCATTTTAATTCCCAGGATTGAAAGAAAAAATTGCCAATAAAACATTAAACATAGCCTTACAACTCAAAGATGACTTTGAGTGTGTGCGTTTGTGTTAATTACTCTCAATTGTATCAAATCTCAGCCGATACACAGTGTCATTTTGGGCATTTTGTTTGTCTAGTAGATGTAACCTGCAAAGTTTTTTAACCCTTGTCTGCATAGCAAGGACATTTAAAATTTCACAAATTGAAATTATAAACCTACTGCAAATCCTTTATATTTTTACAGAGAGACTTCATGCCATGATTCATACAGCTGAATGAAATAACTATATAAACTCCTCAGAGTTTCTTAAACTGTTCCTATCCTGGCGGTTTCCGATGGTCTCATTGAATTCTCTCTCATCCTATTTCTCTGTAGATGTCTCCAGGCTAACTCCCGATGGGATCAGAGTGTTGAGCTGGAGATAACAGCGAACATGCTGGGTGAGGAGCAGTGCTGCTGTAATCTGGGCTGAGAAGCCCTTTTCAGAGGGAAACCCCTGAGAATGGAGCACCGCTTTCCTACACCGACACTGTCACCAATCCTGTCCCAGACATGAAGAGCTGCCGACTGAGAGCGAGACCATGTCTTCTCGGGCTGACATGACATTTTAGGTGGAGTGCAGATGAAGTGGAATTGAGAAAGGAAGGGCAACAGGAGTGAAAATGAAAGATGGAAAAGTTACAAGTATTGATTTGAGAGGACTGAAATGAGGGGAAGTAATGAAGGTGTCTCTACAAGACCGACAGAAAGAGGATGTGACTATCGGAAGTTTCTAAAGGGTGAGACGCAGTGTCAGCTCAGTTTTTAAGGTGTGTTCCACTCTATCTGCACTAGTTGGACCCTGTCTATGGCTTTTGGGCTGACTGAGCATGGTAAATCAGCATGAAATGAAAGCAAGGAATTGACAAAGTCAAGAGACTAATTTCACGTCATCTTAACTAAGCATTCCAATACACCTTAGTTAGGTTAGACGCCATATTGAATTTAAAACGGATGAAAATGAGGCTATGAGGGATAAATGTAGTTTTTACAATGCCATGCAGTGTATAAGAGTCCAAGATCATGCCATTTTCCCAATTTAGAGCTTTCAAAACCGAATAATTGGCATTTTAAAACAGGTTAATTCCTCTCAAAAATGAAATATGGACCTACCCTGACTAAGGACTATACACGTTTTTATTTTTATAACAATATGGGCATCTTGAATAAAGAAAGTGATCAACATAATTCATATTCAAAATGATAAGCAAGCACTGCTTTGTTTAAGGTTTGTACATTTGTTTCGGTTTCTCTTTTTAATAGACGAATATAGTCTACTGCCACCTGCTGATATAGACAGTTATTTTCTCTCAAACAGGCGCAAAACATATGTGCTAGTTGGCGCGGTGCAAAGTTTTAGCTCTGAAGCATGCAAGGCGCAGCAGCAACACAGCTTTCTTCGCTACTAGTTCTTTGTTGTCGGTTTGGTGTGTCACGACCTGAATACACAGATGAACACCAGGAAGAGAGAGAGGGAGAGTAAAAGCAGGGTAAGTGGGCACTCTGTTTGGTCTGTACCGCTGGCCAGGACTTTCCGTGTTATATGTAAATGTCATACTCAGGGAACACAATCTGTATATGTAATTAGACTGCAACATGTTTTTGCTCTCAGAAACGATCCCTCTGCAGTCACAGGGGGTCGCCTATGCTCTCTGCTCCTCATCCCTAATTCATGCTGGTCTCCCTGCGACATCACTGCACATTAATCCCTCTGTCAGCAGGAGGGAAGATGAAGGGAGGCCGACCTCGTCCCCCCAGAACCCCTCCCAAATGCATTTCCCCTTTTAAGCATGAGAAATGGCCTCTCTTTGCAGGTCCTGAGGGACAAACAGGAGGGACGGTGGCATATGGATCTTGAAAACCCCACCCAGTGGCCCTCCCATCAGTGGCTCAGGAAATGAGCTGAAATAGTTGAAAGGGATATTTGAGAGCTTCTGTGGCATGATGAGTCTGAGAGGGTTCACCGTGAAGCAGGTTTCTGTAAATTGACCGTAATGTGCACATCACACTCTGGGTGTAACTGTATCTCTGCGCTCACTTTCATCAGCCAGACGCTCCTCCTGAGTGTGTGTGTGTGTATGTGTGTGTGTGTGTGTGCAAAAGCTCACAAACACCTCACAGTTCCAAAAAAACATTAAACAAGTTTTTAAAATCACAGCAATACATGAATTACATTACATTTTTTTCATTTCATGAACCGATAATTAAAATAAACACAAACTCTGCTCACACATTCAGCCTATATGATCATTTTATTTAGATTTTTTATTACCCTATCTAACATGAATTCTGACAGATATTGAGAAATATTGATTATACATCATTAAAAGTGCACAAACGCATAAATACACAGTATTTCGAAAGTTTGAAGTTTTTTTTAAATACTGCATTAATTTGATCAAAATTACAGTAACAGTAAATATTATTCCAATTTAAAATAACTGTTTTTCATGTTAATGTATTTTAAAATGTTATTTATTCATGTAATGGCAAAGCTGAACAGCCATTACTCCAGTCTTCAGTGTCACACGATCTTTCAGAAATCATTCTAATATACTGATTTGGTGCTCAAGAAACATTTTTAAAATATTAAGCGGCAGTTGTGCTGCTTAATATTTTTGTGGAAAAAGTTTTTGGTCCCACTTTATATTAGGTGGCCTTAACTACTATGTACTTACATTTAAATTAATAATTTGGTACAATGCACTTATTGTGTACATACATGTTTTTACATTGTACTTAAATACCTATATGTAATTACCTCTGTAATTAATTTCTGTAATTACATTTATAATTACACTGTTGACCCATCCCTTACACCTTAACCCACCCTTAAACCTACCCATACCACCAA